CCAAATCCACAGTATTTCCTTCATCAACTCTTGCAGTGACATCCTCAAAGAATGTCAGAAGATTTGTTAAACAAATAATGGCTGGAGACGGCTTAAATGGGTAATGAAGAAAAACTTTAATATAAGTTTAACATGACAGCAAATGTACAACGTTTCGACAAGGTTTTGTCATCATCAGGTACTGTACCTGATGAGGACAAAACCTTGTCGAAACGTTGTACATTTGCTGTCATGTTAAACTTATATTAAAGTTTTTCTTCATTACCCATTTAAGCCGTCTCCAGCCATTATTAGTCTCAAAGTGGGTTCCTCGTCATCGAAAGTAATTATAGTTGATTTATATGCACTAGGCTAAATTATCTTTTTAACCATTTTTCTATACAATTATCATTTATTAACACACAAAGTACATTAAATATATTGATTATGCATTTTTAATACAAATTATCAAAATTCAAATTAATATAATAATAATTTTTGAGTTAATTAAACTTAATTATTAACAACATAAAGATTTTAAGATGTTCATTTTTCTGTTTTACAGTAACATGTAAGCATTGTTGAACTTATAAACTCTTAAGTTGTAATAAAAAACTACTTTTTTTTCAACTATGTATAAAATTATATACTTTTGATATTTTAATATTATCTGCAAGATAACAGAAACCCTAATTTTAAAAAACAATGTCTCTGTAGACAATAAATTTCACTAAATTAATTCTAGCTGTAAAATTAAATAATTCTCAGTTTCCCCTAATTTGTAAACAACATGTTATTTCTAGGTATTGTACCATCACCACAACACTGTGCATTTTCAAACTTTATTTTCAAAACATCACAATTTAACTCTTCCACAAAGAAGACTATAATAATACACACTTGCAAAAAAGTACCTAGTTATTTTTAAGATTTGTGAATAGAACAAGAGAAAACTCTCTTGTCATAACATAAAAATATGACCACGAGAGTCCTATTAACACCTGCTTCTTAAAATAATTCACTGAAAGAGGAAGCTCTTTACTTAACAATGGCATCAAGTGAGAAAAATGTGCTAAAAATAATAAGTTAAATGATCCTACACTTAGTAGTAGTATGTAGATCACTGCATGTTCAAATTATTTTTAATAAAACAAATACTGGTATTGCTGTAAAAAAACTAGTTAAATTTTTTGCATTAGAAAAACAAAAATGTATACAACAAACTAGGAAACAAAAAACAAAAAATTATCCACTACAGCTTATTAGCATAATAATAATTGAAAAGGTTTTTTGTTGTATAAAACTTGAAAATTGCTTTGATATATAGAAACATCTGTTAGCTGAGTTCTTTCACAGATCTTAAAATATAATTTTCATAAATGGAAACATCGGCTCATGTATATATGTAGATCTTGAAAGTCGAGTTGTTGAAAACTTGAAAATAGCGTCGATAACTGTACCAATTGTTGGTTGAGATGTTGCAAAAGAAATATCTGCTGAAGCTTTTTGCCAGCCACTAATCATAGCAGATCTGTCTAGAAAATGATCTATAGGAAATAATACAGCTTATAAAATGAGTCAGATCAACATAGGCCAGTAAGGCAATAACTGATTGGCATGTCCTTTAGCCAATCAGGAAATGTCATAGACCTACTGAAGGATGTGTAGATTGTATAGGAATTCTTTTTGACAGCAAAGGACAAGTTTATGTGTTTTAATAAAGGTGGCTTCCAAAATAGAGAGATGAAAGGTCAACCAACCATTTGCAATAATTGCAAACATGCCATCCGTGTAGTTGTCAGCACAAGTTGGGTTCAGTAGTAAATGCTGGCCAATCGCTGATTCACATTTTGGTGGTAGAACTTTTGTTTTATAGAAGCGACATGGTAAATTCTTTTCTTTCATACTCTTAGTTCTTATGGATGTGGGTATATGTTGCTTAATTCTATCCTGCAGTCTTTGTAAAGTGTGACCTACATATATACAGTATACACAGAAAACCTATTTTTACAGGACAATACATGCGATGGGATTCTTTCAGTCCCAAAAGTCGCAAAACGAACTTTATTGCTACTTAAGTCCATCGGGCTCTAGTTATCTATTCAAAATATAAACTAGATTTCGAATTGAAGACAATTAAAACTATTTTACTAGAAAATGGGTATCCAGAAAACGTCATCAATCAAATTACTTCAAGGAAAATTGCGAGCTTCTCAACTGATCCAAAATTTGGTCCTAACAAGTGCCCTGTTTATAGACAATTTACTATATCGATTAATCGAATTAATTGCCAAGCTCTATTGTAAAATACAACAATACAACACTTACCAACTGGATGACATGTAACATATGAACAAACATGTAAGACAGAAGCATACGATTTGGCGTAGGAAGATTCTCAATCAGTTGGGACAAGATCTCAACACGTTTTAGAGGATCCTTGAGACCTATCCAGATAAACAACAATGTGAATTTTATCAATAAGACAATTATATAAGTCTTCGTTCTTAACTTGTTCATATAACAAAATTTACAATAATCTAAAAGTAATAATTAATATATAGGCTGTGCACTGACAAAATTAAAATGTATATAGTTGTTACAAATCCCCTTCAATCACAAATGTTCACTGATGAAATATATTAAACGTAATACTTTTTTATCACACAAATCTCATAACATTCTATATACTGATTTTAACTGTATTCTGTTGTGGTGGCCTAAATACTCTGACACACTCATAAAAATTTAGTTGCCACCCAACAAAATAGAGTTTAGAGTGAAAAACCTTTATAACCATGGTACATATTACATCTACTGTAATTGGCTTCTCATTAGGGCATGTTAAATAAAATAATACTAATATTTTGAGTATTTATAATATTCTAAAGCACACAGGATCAACAGAAAAAGAAGCATCAGAAACGAAACCCAATCACTTTCTTGAAGAAAGAAAGTGTACTTTTTCAAAGGGCTTATGTTATTGGGTTTAATTTCTAATACTAAAGTTTTTGAGTATTATACACAACTGTAGCACATTGATTGTATTTTTTTTTAAATATTTTGCTAGGAGTTTCACTGCATATTACTTCTAAATAAACAATTGTAAACTAAAAGTACTATTCTTAATCTTTTTAAATGTTCTTTTCTGATGTACCAATAGGCTTACACTGACATAAAGACCTTTAATGGAACACCAAAAACATAACATTTTGAATGCTTCATTACATCAAATGTATTAATTGTTGCTAACATGACCTCTGATATTATAGAAACTTTGTTTGTTTTGATTCTTAAATCCAATAAAGAGTAAAGAGATTAAATGTCAATGCCAAAGTTGCTAGTGACATTCAAGTCTTACATCCTTCTGTTAATTTTAGTATGCAAATTTGCTAATTCCCTTTATTTTATAGACATCAGATTAAAAATATGCAGAAATTAAAATAGAATATATATATAACAAGAACCATTAAAATAATACTTGAATAGCCATGTATGACTCTCTGTCTTTTATTAGTTGCTATTGATAATTTTCAGCTAACCTACATGTATTTTAATGCACAAACACTTGACAAGTAAAAAATTCTTAACTCTGCATCAGCATCGGTACTTTAATGTTCAAATAAAACACTTTATAAATAAAATAAGACACTTTACTAGCAGAAGGATGTAAATCACCTTCAGTTATAAACCTGACATTAGTCTGCTTGTAGCTGAAATAATTGTTTTCATTCAATAAATTAATTCTAAGAAGGATTCTCGTAGATTTTGTACCTGTCACAGAATTTAATTTAATACAATATTCTATTTAAATAATTGACTGGTAAGTTTTTTAAAGTGCTCATAGAAGAAAGGAATAAATTGCAGACAGCTTTAGAAAAGTGTCAAAAATGGAGTGATCTGAAATGCCACATTTTAACAAAATTAGATCTTTGCTACAAACAAATCATCATTTGTTGCTTCAATTACCACTGCATATGATTTACTGGAAGGTTCAGTATAATATTTAGAATGGTGTTTCAGCTGCTACACTCCCATTATGGCTGATCAAAATAGTTGCTTGTTGACTTTTTTTTTATATTATTGCATGTCACAGATTACTTTGCTTTTTCAACAGTTTTAGGATTACTTATGAAATCTACCAGTATCTTAGGATTCTGTTCCTGACAGTAACAATTGCTATGCTTTTGTGTTTTTACCTCTTCATATGTGACTTTAATGCAACTTTTCTCATGTTATGATTGTAATAACAATATTTTTCTTACACAACTTGCACTGAGTCGTGTTTACCTTGTAAGCCACACACACACTGAACCCATGAGGCACAAGCAAGATTGTCTTACCAACTCTGTTGATAGTTTCACTTACAAGCATTTCATTTATAAAAACCTCCTAAATGAATATCAGAAGATTTTTCAGTAAAACAATATTTTATCTGTTATTTTTTCTAGCCTAAATTAAATATAGTAAAATCAGCAATGTAGGGTGAACTGAAAAGTTGAAATATACAAAATAATTCTGAGCTACTCTTTTTTCTTTGTAGAATGACTGCATACTGTAACAATTACACAATTTATTTTTACAGCCAAAGCTAACAGACTTTTCAAATCAGGATTCATTTAGTTTTATTGCATTACAATTGCACATAGACCCTCTCAGAGTATGCTGAAAGCTGTTTATCATAACCAGAAAGCTTTGTGTAAACAAATGATCAAATTAGAAAGATGCCTTGCAGAAACCGTATTTGCGGATGTATAGGACGATACTTTTAACTCTCAAAACAATGCCAGATTTTACCCCACATCTTATACATAGGTTCAAAGATAGAGTTCCGGTAAGAACTTTCTAGTTAATAGCAAAACTACATTGTTCCTTTTACCTTTGTTTGCTCTTTCAAGTAAGTGGATTGATGTCGTCCCATTTACTGCATTACAATAACATATTTGTAATTGTATCATTTCTCTCAATAATCCGTAATTAGAAGTTACTTATCTTACATGCTAGTTACAATTAATCAAGATATTTTTTATTTGAAATGTATTGATCTTATCCATCATACTAAAATATTGCTAATATAATAAAAAAAAACACTAGTGGTTGTATTGATTAGCGAAGGTTAGCACAGTTTAAAAATAACTTCTAAGAATTACCTTCCAAAGTAACATCCTAGACTTAATTGACAATAGAGGTTGTTCTATACACTGAACGTCAAAGAAATACACTTAATTTGCTCAAAAAATCCAGGATCATCTTATACACTGGCAAATGTGGTATGCATATGTTAGAAAACTTAGTAATACAAGAAACTTTTCTATTTAATAAGTTTATAACTTTTACATTTTAGTTCCTTTTATAACAATAAATACAAAATGTATGTCAAAAAACAAGAACTTTAGCACTTGTGACTAGATCTTGTCTTTTAGTCCTTGAATGACAAACACTGTAAACTTACTAATATTATTTATAACAATGTTAGTGGTAAAAAGTAATTTTTTTTAAATTTCAAACATACAACATAGAACAAAAAATATTATCGCACACACACATAAAAAATAGAATGTCCTAAAACTACTATAAATTAACTGGCTTTATAAATAAGCTGTAAGTGGGTTAAAATATTCTATTAGCTGGGCAAGATGAGCACTACAAATGAAAACAATGAAACTGAGGTCAAATACTTCAAAATCAGGTGGGTCAACAAACTAACCTCCAAAGGAATAATGTAAAGCAAAATTTATTTTTTCATTGTTTATAAATAATCCAATAGCAAATATCAGAGTATTATTGATAGCTTTTTGAAAGATTGGATGTGATGGGAGGGGGAATAACATGTGGATTCATCTTTCTTGTTCATATCCAAGAAAAGCAAGAAAACTGGAGATTATATGTTTACATTCTAGCTTAGCAATATCTATAGTAAAGATATAATTTATTCAAAACTCAGGACATCATATAGGGGTAGAAAGAATATGTAAAATGGGCAATTTGGAGACTGAGAATTTATATAGATACTTCTTTAAGAAATTAAAACTTATAATAAAATTTGAATTATAACCTCTGATTTGATGTCAAATTTATTGAAATATATTGATAATAAAGTTAGTTAATTAAATTTGAAATATAACTCTGTAAAGTCATGATATGTGCACTTTGATCCACCCAAACTGAGATAGTTAATATAGTCAAACTGGACTTTTGTTACTAGTAAAGTGCCTCAGGCTTCAGTGCTTTGATGTTTACTTTTTCTTATTTTCATTAATGATAATGATAGAAACATAATTAATAGATTATTAAAGCTTGGTAGCAACATTAAAGTCTTGAGTAATTCTAACTGTACTAAAGATGTTGAGGTATTACAGAATGACTAGAATCATTTGGTAAAATGGACAAATATTTAACAAATGACTATTAATTATTGATAAATGAAAGATATTACACTTGGGTTATCATAATTTGTATCACACATTTAATAGAGATGGGAACCAACTCAATAGTATGACATAAGGAAAGGACCTTAGTATAATGGTGGATAAGTAACTCAAGCTATCAATGCAATGTTCTATTAGTAGGAGTAAAACTAATACAGTTTTAGTGTGTATTTACAGGTCTATTGATTATAAGTCAAAATATGTAATTATCTTTTTATTTAAACTAGTTAGGCCTCATTTAGAATAATATGAACAGTTTTGATCTCTTTATTTAAGAAAGGATGAAAAACTAGCAGAAAGGGTTCAGAGGATGGATACTGACATGATTCCATGGATGGAAGGGTTACTTTAAAGGGATAGGTTATAATCTCTCAACTTATTTTCTCTTGAGAGAAAGTAAGAAGTGATTTTATTGAGGTTTACCTGATTATCCATGGAATCAAGATAATAAAGACCTCTGATCTGTTCAAACTATGTTTTAAAGATAACAGGATGAGATTACAAAAGTGTTAATATTTCCCTTACCTCAAAATCTATTTCTGATAGATACTCACCTCTGTACACAGATCAGCTATTTTCCTCTTGAAGTCACCCTATTTTGCCTTGGAGACTTGCATATTACCAGTCTTTGTGAAACTCCCATCTAAACTTTACATGAAATTGCACTACTGTGTGATGACGTATCATGAGCAAAACCCTCTACCAATAGGAGTACAACACACCTTCCTGCAAAAATGCTCCCTCTGGATTCACGTGTGAAAATCCTCATTCTTTGAAAAAGCAATCAATAAGAGTGCACTGGGAGAGTGGGAGGAAGGGTAGCAATGTGTATGGAGGTGAGTAGCTATCAGAAATACATTTGCAGGTAAGGAAAATGTTAACTTCTGATACAATGACTCATCTCCATACACAGATCAGCTAGAATCCCATATTAAGGTAGTTGAGGGACTGGAGCAAAGATTACATAAATGTGCCTCCTATCAAGAGAGAAGAAAGGAAGCTCATGGGGTATGACACCC